GGCTATAAAAGGATATGTGACACCCTGTCTCTATGCTAATGCACCCCTTCCTTTCCATGGATACCGTGCTAACCGCCCTACGCCCCTCTCACCCCCCCACCCCTCTCTCTCATATCGCACATTCGCACACCATTACCTGCCCGATATTAGAGACCAGCCCTGATAAAATGCGCCATCCAAAGCCCAACATCTACGCAAACGTTTGTCATGATCTGCTGCATTACGATTTAAATACACTTTACTGCAGCACGGAGATATACGACCTGCTCTTCTTTTTTCGTACCACTGCCCTCTTCTTCTCTTTTTTTTTTACACCATCCAACGTACACAAATATGCTAAATCCGATTGCGCCAAAATATAAATTACCCCAACTATAAATTGCGAATAGTTTTAAATTGCTAAATTATTCAAATACCTTTCGATTAATGTCCTCAATATTACTATCAACATCCATATTCACTATTTCATATCATATATAAAATTCAAAAGTAAGTAAAGTAATATTATATGAAAAAAATCTTATCGGAACTATTGCATATATCAAAAAATGAATAATTTCATTAGATTTGTAAAAAAAAATCAAGTCTATAAAAGCTTTAAATTACGTAACAATAAAAATTATTTATAAAATGACAATATCGACACAAGAAATGTTGTTTTTTTTTATTATAAAATGTGAATAATTTGCATAAAACAAACCAATAATAAAGGGCACTAACGGAAAGCAAATACAAATGCGATTCAACATGTAATAATAATGTATGAAAAAGGGGTGGAGGATCCCGGACCCCTCGAAGAAAATTAAGTGATGTAATTAGTGTCTGTAAATAGAGTTCGTGTCGTGTGAATTCCAGTTATATCACTCGGCGCAAACCCTTATGTGTGCGGTGTGTCCGAATTGTTGATGTAATTAGTTTCGAAAAGGGAGGGAAACCTCTTATCAGCGCACGTTGATGCTATCCCAAAGTGACCATCCCCGTGCCTCACAATTCTCTAAAATACGTCGTCAGCTTTAGTTCATTAGTTCTGCAAATTTGGTTATTTCTACAATATCATTTACATTCTTAAATTAACTTATTTTTGTTTTCATCAAATACATTAATGTTCAGATCAAGTGTATTGATGAAGGGTTGTAACAAAAGATCACGTGCAACTGGTTTGTTCGAGTCAGGTAGTTTGAACAGGTATATTTTACGAGTGGTAACACATCAAATACACGCCCGAACATTAGAAAACAATGCATTAGTGTAGAATACAACACATTAGTGGTGAAATTAACTCTTTATTTTATTTCTACATTTTTTATTGTTTGAATTCCACAGTTATCGATTACAAACATTCTTATTTACAACCTAAATCAAGAGAAAATTTAAAATATTTACTGAATTCTTTAATTAATTTGTAAATATTTCAAATTATTAAACAAACACAAAATTTGAAAATTATAAAATTTCTTACTTAAAAAAATAAAACGTATAAAACGTATATTTAAACATATCTTAACAATAGCTTCCACCATGTATTTATGAACTCAAGTAAAATGAAGCTTGAATTAAATTCCTGGGTATTGATTAAGTTTGTTATCATTAGTAGTTTTACTTTCAAGTGCATAATTGATACTGTAAATAAAGATGCACTTAAAAACACTTAAACTTAAGTGTTTGAGTTTCTTCAAGATAAGATTTGATTCATATATTTATACAAACAAAGAAAATAAATATGAAGTTTTGCTTATATAAGTAATTAAATTTGATTCAAATATTCAAAATTATAATTTTAGTTTTCTTACATAAAATATTTGAATATTAGCTATAGTTATATTTCATTATTTCAAATCAAACTTATTTTATCCTCTGATTCTTCAATTTTTTTGTACATTACTATATTGATATCAGATTTTATGAACTGCATTACACAATAATGCATAAACGTTTTCAGCTAAAGTATCTTAACTTAAGTTATTGCAGTATTTCTTAAATGGATTTTCATTGTATTGTCTTTTATTGAGTAGTTTTAGACTAGTTTTAGATGTGTGTGGGTGCTTCGAAAGATATTCGTAGAAAATGTCCGTATGTCACCCATGTGGCCGCCCTTGTTTATCTCCTAGATCCTTGTTGTTGTATGTATATGCAAGCGTGTCGCAACACCAAGACTAGATTACCGCAGACATTTATTTAAATGTACGTTTTGCTTTGAAGTAACTTGTAACATATCTGCATCTGATTGGTGAATTATACCATTAGTGTTATCTGTTTACGTAACAAAATGCAGCAGCACCGAGCAGCACACGCTTTTGCTTTGTTTGCGTGTGCATGTGTGTCTGCAAAATCTATGTATATATAAACTTTTATCGTTTAAGTAATTTAGTAAAAATATTTTCGGCCGAAGGCAGTCCAGATCATTTAACTACCAAAAGGAGAGAACAAAAACGAACTCAGATAAAAACAGATGCATTAATGCTTGTAGTTGTTGCTGTTGTTATTCCCCTTTATTTGTATTTATCATTCCAGATAGTCATATTATTAAACAGATACGGAACTTGCTCATCATCGTATGGTTATATAAAATTCGATGGAATTCGATACATCACTTTTCAGCCGTAAAAGTATTCCATGCGGGGTGGGCGTTATCATAAAGCGATGTTGATTGGACATGGCGCTCCATATTCTAGATACTCGGTCAAACGCCTTTCGACACGAGGGTTATACATTAGGGTTTATCTTATTACGGAAAGGGCGTTCTGCAATCTGTGCATAAGTTGCGTACAACTCCGATATCTTCATGATTGCAAGATATCGCATGCTGGTACCACTACACATGATTTGCACTGTATTACAGTTTTTATGGAATATTTTACGATACTATAAACATTTCATACAATCAGACATCATCGTATTGATTACAAATAAACTAACCCAAATTTAACGTTCTTCAATATATTATTTACTTCATGCTTTTCTATAAAATTACAAACTTTAATTCTAATAATATACCTATTTTTAGTTTATTGTTTATAGCTAAAATGTAAAAAATCTGTACAAATCCAAACAATACCAAGATTTTACTTCAATTACAACAAAGAAAACCAAACTTAATCTTCCATTATAAAATTTCATATATTGTTTAAAATTATTTATTGCTTTAAAATAAAATAGTTTAATAAACCATATGAAATTTATATCCAAATCTATTGAACTAAATGAATATTTGCATTATGCATAGTTTTGCAAGGAATTTTAAAATTAATTAAAAAGCAATAAGTTATTAATTTGCTAAATTGATTTCTAAATTACAAGAAAAATATTGATTTAAAAATAAAAACTGAATTGAAGTGTAAGAAATTTTACTGTAAAAATAATATCTACTAGATTAACAAACAACTCTAACGTTTGTAGCCTTTCTAAAGTTCTTACACAAGAAGAAAGGAAAAAAAAGTAGAGTTATCGCTTGGCATTCCTCAAAAGAAGATAGATAAATAAATAAATAACATTTTTTTTCCGTCGTATCGTTCACGCTAAGTTGAACACACTGTATATATCGTTATTTATAAACAGTTCAAAGTCTGCAACATAGCTGTGAAAAGAAACTGAGGGATCAAGATTCCAATAAATTTCCTCCCCGATAATGTTGTACACTTGAAGTTCAAGATTTGTTCGTATAAATTTTGAAATTAACATATTCGTAATTTGTTACGGAGCAAAACCCACTTGCTGTATGATTTATTCGACGGTGTAAATTTTCTCTAATATATTGCGCGGCACAAACAGAAGGAAAAGGATGAAAAAAAAAGAAATACATGGAGGGACGGCCGTTCTGCAGCGTTCCGCGAGAAAATAATGATGTCATGTCATGACGGTCATTCGAAAATTTATTTCCCATCATTTGCATAGCTGTGGTGGCAAATGGGAAATTCATATGCGTTATAATAATGCAATCAATCTTTTGCATCTTTTCCATCGCAGATAAGATTGTTACACGGAACGTTTCTAATTCATTAACTATATCCAATAACAAATGTAATTATGCAACAACGACTGTTAAAATAGTATTTCTATTTGCATTATGCATAGTTTTGCAATTAATATGTATGCCTTTAGTTCAATATTTTAACTTTTTTAATTAAATCATGTATTAATTCATATGATCAAAATAATTATTAACCTAATAACTAGTTCTAAACAATCGTATAAATTTGAACTTCTTCGATCAATTTACCATTATTTATAAAGCAATAATAATTAATGAGTATTTTGATAATGAAAAGATAAATTGATTATATTCCCACCATTATTCTAAATGATCTGGAAAAGTATTTTATTAATAATTTGTTAATCCAATTTTACTTTAATGATTCAATTAATTTCATTTAAAGAATTCAAATTAATTAAAAACTATCTTATGAAAAATAAACCTGAAATAAAATACTAATATTGATAAATTTACTTAAAAAATATATTTATTTTCAATATATAATAAAAATACTGATTAGGATATAATGGATTATGTTCTAAGTATGATGATGGTATGAGATCTAAATATGTATGAATTTATGGTATTGAGTTATAGTTATGTATATGATGTAGTTAAATTAACGAAGAGAGAAAAAAGAAAATGGTACGAAGATAGAAACAGTTGTTGGGATATGCATCAAAGTGGTATAAGAAGAAATGAGCGAGTGAGACGAAAAGCAGTAGATAAGATCAAATGGCGGAATATTTATAAATGCAAATTAATATAAATAAGATCTTTTTATCGTAGCCAAGGTCGGTCTTGAATATAATCAGTCGTAATAAGTCCAGTAATTGCATGTATAATTTAACAGAAGGTGCCATGATAAAACCGTATCGAAAATAATAAATTCTAATTTATTCTAGAGAACAGCCTACAGCCATGCATGCCAGTATTATATGTTCCTACACCCGCACCATTCGCAAACTCGGCCGATGCACCTACACCATAGGAGAGGAAGGAAATTGATAGGTTTTTGTTACAACATTACCTTTCTTCAAGTTCTCGGCCTCCTCGGGAAAGTCCCGGCCGGCCGCTATCTTTTCATGAGGATCGCCTGAAAGAAAATTTGAACGAATTTTACTTTAACTGCTAACCAAATCGAAGCCGTTGTCGTGGGAATCAAATAGTAAAGCGCATCAACGGCACACATTAAAATAAATAAATAAATAAATAAATATAAATAAAACCGGAATGTAAATGGATTAGTCATGAAAATTGATGCAATTAAAATAATGTTAATTAAATTTGAAACAGTTAAACACAGTTGAATACAAGATGATCTCGTTGGGAGGAACGAATAAGAAGGAAAGAAGTGCTTCTTCCATTAGTAAAACATAGGCGCGTCTGGAGAGAAACATGCAATTCACAGATCTAAATGATTCGGTTTCATGAATATTCACTGGGGGAGAAAAAGAGAGAGGCCTGCCACTATTCGATAAATAAGTTGAATCGACTGGAAATATTCGTGACTTTGGAAATCGCTAATGCACTTTAACTGAAGCGGTTTCTTTTACCGATATCGCATATTAATACACACAACCCAACAACATATACACTTACATACATACATACACACTTCACTCCATTATATTCTTTCGCTCGTCCTTTTCCGGCTCAATAATATTTCCGTGACTCGGGCCACCTTAATAGGACTTGCTAATTTACCCGGAGGTCTGATTAGATCCTATCTACCTATAAATTATGAAATCTGTACGATCTAAGCTAATGGTAAGAAAATATAACAATGAAAGATCGAGTCCGATATGGACGCCCGGAGGTGTGGTGGCCTCTTGGTGAGAAATCTCAGCATGTCCGGCGCGTTAACAGAAATTCAATTTAAAACTCATCTCAAATGGCCAGACCACCGCTGCGATCCAACCAGGATCATCTATTAACAATTACATACATCGATGATGTCATTACCATTACACCGTACATATGTATTTAATACTATCCGAACAACTTTTGCACTCCATAAAGAAAGTCTATGGATTAATAAATAAAAAAAGAAACTTCCAAAATCGAAATTTATTTTTTATGATCTCTGACCTCTAAAATAAAGAAATTGGTAAACCAAAATAATAAATTGCGCAAACAAGTTTCCATCAATTTTGATTTAATTTTACCTTTTATATTCACAACAAAAAATAACCAGACTAATTGAAAAACTAAAACTGTATAAACTATAGAAAAAGAGACGTGTCTGAAGATATTTTTAAACCGGACTATAGTAAATCCCGATTGATCGAAGCCGCACTATGCGAGGTAATGTTGTAGCATACTTTTCGGTCGTTAAGATGTAACGAAAAATATGAGACAACTTAAAAAGACTATAAAATGAACCTACACAAAATTATGATCCAAACAACAAATGTTGGTATTGAATGTATATTGTTGATGTAATTACTATTATTTGTTATATATGTCCAAATTAGTCCAAATAATATTTGGGTTCCACAGAGAAAGTCAATGAATTCGTGAAATAAAAATCAAGTTCCAAAATGGAGCAAGAAAAATAACTATTACAGATACTGAATGTTCTCAATCGAAAGTTAAAATCATTTTGTAAATCACGCTCAACAATAACCTATGTATTGATCAATCTGCGGACTCACGCCTCACTCCAATCTGAACTGAAACACATTTTTGCTGCAATTGAACAAAACATATCGGAATTTATTGAGCGTGAATAATTATATAACGTAAGGTTTTTCAGTCCAAGCAAAAATACGTTTTTGAAAAATAAATGTGCACTTGTTTTATGCATGTTAAGTGTATTCAAGCATCAACGACTTAATCATCTACATAGCCGTCTTTTATATAGCTTTCCTTAGAACAATGGCTGAGGAACAGACAAACAGATTTATTTATACTTTATCGTGCACTCGAAATTCGTTTCCTTGCGACATTCGCTCACTCGATAGATAAGCACACCTAAATTAACGAGTTCGAAACATCCAAAACAAACAAATATTTAAATAAATCAAATTAAAACGAAATCTATAATGAGATTGTAGCAGAGCACATTGAATGATTGATGAACATATAGCGTCAAATGATAATCCGCAATCTCGAGCATATTTAAGAATAACTGACCTTGTCAACTGTTTATGTAGTGCATAAAAACAAGATCACAAAATAATGCAATCATTAAATAATAACACTGCGTTTATTTATAATCATGCAATTATTTCAATGGTTACATTACTTTCTTTTTTTTTTTTATAAATTATCGCATAGTGTTAATATTCAAAAGATCATTAGATAATTAAATGAAAATATTTTGATTTAGAGAAAAATAATGTTTTGAAAATTCTATTGTGTTAGGTAAAAACAAAAAAATGCAGGTAGATTTCTTTGAAAGGCTGTGCATTTGTAAATGTAAGTATAACGTTATTTATTTATAACATGTTTCGTGCGGCTTATAACAAAATGACCATAATCGAAACGAAAGAAATGAACCGGAACGACACATTTCAATGCGATTATTTACTAAACAAGTTTCGCAATGTGTACGTACATATCTTACATCGTCTATATTTGATATTATAACAACGTGCTCGTACATGGAATGCGCCATTCAAGATATCTATTCCTGTTTCTATAATTGCTGAATTGTGAACCCACTCCGACTTACCTGTTGCATAAACCCACTATCCTGCACTAGTTAATAATTTGATTGCTTGATTAATGTGGAACATTTAATATTCCTTTCACACGCATTGCAAATTTTAACTGACACATTCAACATCAACAATTTATGCAATATCAATCTATTGTTTTATATAATATTTATATTTCTTTATCATTTGTTAAAAGCTAAAAGTTATAATAAAAACTATAGTCAGTCAAATATATGCAGTTAGGAATTTATAGTATAATTTAAGTTGGTTATTTTTTATGATAGTTAAGCAACGAATGGGTGATTTTTATATATTAACGAACACATTTGTGAGATTCAAGTTAAATCACTTAATGATTATATATTGCTGTTTTATATGTAGTTATGCGAAATGACATCATTGTGTCAAAGTTGTATTAATATTGTATCTGCATAATTTTTCATTCTACCCATCAAATTAACATTCTTCAAAACAGTGAAGTTAGTGTGTACATTTTCCGGATAATGTCGATATAAAAAAAGGAAATAATTGGCAGAAAAAATAAATTACAACATCAATTGCTCAATATTATTTGTAGAACTTTTGAAAACTGAATTAATGTTAAGAAACAATAAAATCTTATTGTAATTCATTAAAAATAAATTGTTGTTATTTTGAGATATTTGAAGATAATTATATAAAAATAGTAAGTTAATAACAATATCTTGATATTAAATTTACTATGTTGTAACAGTAATTAAAATCATACTTTAAAAATAAGATTTAATTTTATGGAAAAAAAAAATGTTATATAATAAGATTTGGTTGATTGTAGGAAAAATTTAATTGGTTTTGTTTGAAAGATTATGAATGAGAATTTATAAATTTTCAATAATCCAAAGAAGTTATCTGAAAGGAGAATGAAGAAGAGGGAGAGAGAATGGAATGTGGTTTTGGTAAAATTGTAAAATTGAATTCGAAAAGGGGTTGGAAGGAAATAAAAGGGAGAGAAGGATTTGGGTAATAGCATGGCGTATCGTACATAACACGAACAGAAAATATATGTATAAATTAAATCGTGGTGATAGTGTAGATGCATATAGGTAGCAGTATTAATGTAGCGTGATGGATAAATCCGTGCATGGAGAGTTGCGATAAGTAGTAGCGACGCTTTGTTTTCCATTTCGAGTGCCCGGATTCGTTTCCTGATCATAGTCAGCGGCGTAGTCGGTCGGTGTAGTCAACGTAGTCGGCGTAGTCTGCTGCTGCTGCGGCCGAAGACACGGCGGCCGCCAGGAAATGAATTTTAGCGCGGCCGTGCGCGGAATATGTTATGTCTCCGTGAAATAAATCGTCTCCGTGTCCTTTCTTCCTCCAGCTAATATCGCCCATTTGCGCTTTGTTCGTTTCTCATTTCAGTTTACAGTTTTATAAACGACGCTTACCAAATCCCCCATCTCCAAAACCATCCAACCACCCTTTCCTCACTCTCTCGTTCTCTCTTCCTCTCTCCACGTCGCAAATCTACCGCCCACTCCACATACTCGCACATCCCTCGTACAACACATATGTATCGACCGGAGGGACTTTTCAGGAAGTACGTGATGGATACTTTTCACCCATTCTCATGCATTCCAAAATGGACTTACTGGTCGACAGGCACGAAAAAAAAGAAGTAGTGTATATGTTATCGGCAAAGTATTAAATCCTACCCATTTAGAACATACCAGTCTTTACAGTATTCAGTATCAATTCTCATAAGTCTAATACTTACTTCAGAATTTTGTTATAATTTATTATCCTTTTGATATAGAGAATTCGACTTAACTCTTTGAGTACACGCAATGTACCACCTTTTGAGAATTTTTGGGCATTATTATAATTTTCTAGAATATGTACGGAAAAAAGGAAATAGTAAGTTAGGGGATGAATCTTGATAGTCCATACCGATCTTGATTCAGTTGACAAAGTTGTCTGATTCAACTGTCTATAAATTGGTTGGGTCTAGAAATTTAGGAATTTTTTTTAAATTAAGATACTTGATAACATAATATTTAAAACATTTTCATACTAATAATAACATCAATGTCTTCATTTGATCTTGATTCAGTTGACGAAATTGTCTGATTTCAGTTGTCTATAAATTGGTTGGGTCTAGAAATTTAGAAATTTTTTTTTAAATTGAAATAGTTTAGAACATAATATTTAAAACATTTTCATATTACTAATAACATCAATGTCTTCATTGAATTTCTATAAAATTCATTAAATTAAATATCTTTTGTATAATGTCAGTTCAAAATATGACATTTTATTTTGTGGTGCAATTGGACTTAATCATACTATTATCACCAATTACTATGCAAATTTATGAAAATTGGAAACAACGCAAATGTAATTTTGTGTTTAATGAACTTGCAATTTTCTGTTGTTAATATTGCCAAATTTATTT